TATACCTCTCCCTCCCTCTCTGTAAGAAAATCAATAAAATGTATTTTTTTAAATGTTGGCAAACTTGATAAGTGAATAAAAGTATTCAATTTGAAAAGAAGAAGGGAGAAAAATGAACAGAACCTCAAAGACCTGTGGGACACCATCAGTAGAACATCATACACATAATGGAAGTGCTAGAAGGAAAAGAGGAAAGGGCAGAAGTAAGATCAATTTGGGGGGTGCTGGCATCTTAACAGTGTTGTCTGCTCACCACACACATGGATATCTTGCCACTGATTTAGGTCTTTTTCCATTTCTTTCTACAATGTTCTGTACACATCAAACAGGTGGATTTTGTGATATATAAATTATACTTCGATAAAGCAAGATGAGAAACAAGACTAAAGGGAAGTTTCTTGGGTGCTTACACTGGGTCCCACGATCTGGATCATTATTCAGTCAGCAGGAGAGATGGACATTGTGTTTTTTCTCTTCCAGGCATTGAAGGTTCGTAATACTAACCATAAAGCCCTAGGCATCTCTCCTGGGGTTAATCTAATTACTTCCTGCATCAACCTCATGAATTTTCATCATTTCCTATCAAGCTAAGAGAACCGGGCACACCTCCTCCCTTGTTGCTCCAAGCCTGCCTCCTCCAGCCCCAGCTTACTCTCTCTGCTCCTGCGTGCACTCCTGGTGGGCCTGGGTGGGGTGCAATGGTCTCCTCCCCTGGGCTATGAATATATGTGATTAGATACTGCTGTCCATCTGGTCTGTGCAGTGGTGGGTGCTGTGCATGGGGTCATCTCATACTATTTATGGTGGGGTGTCCCTCCCTCACCAATGGTGTGACCAGGAGGTGATCAGAACAACATGGCTACTTCCTTCACAATCCTATCAGGACTATGGAAAAAGTGGGGTCAGTCCTGGCCAGGTTGGTAGTTCAGTAGGTAGAGCATCTTTCCCCTACCCCAAGGGCACATACAAGATTCAACCAATGAATGCATAAATAAGTGGAACAACAGATCCACACACCTCTCTCTCTATCACTCTCTTTCTCTCAAAATCAATAAATCAAATTTTATTTTTAAAACATAGTGGGGTCAATGTTTCACTTCTTTGTCAACCTGCCAACCTCTACCCTCCTCCTAGAAGTCTGTTGTGACTCACTGTTTCTGCTCCCAGACCCCACACTGAAAAGAGAAAAAGGAAAAAACTGACTTCTCTCTCCTTTCTCTCTCTCCTCCCCTCTGCCTCTGCATATCTATTTCTATCTCTCAGCCCTTGCATAAATCTCTCAGTGATTCCAGGCTTTTACAAAATACAAGAGGTTATTTTTAATACTCAAAGATGCTAGGAAAAAACTCACTTGAAATCTTGGCTTAATGGAGTGCCTACCTATTTATGGGGGGGGGGGAGTGCTGATAAAATGCAAATGATTTCTGAATATTCTATTTTATTATTTTAGGAGAGAAATATACAAAATGTTTAGTGTGACTCAAATATTGTAGGTTGATGTGAGCTTCAAAACTACATTATCAATGTTAACTGTGTTTGTGGAGGGCTTTCCACATTAGTTACTGTTATTATAGGAGTAAAAAGCTACTCATACATAATAAAGTTATAAAGATTAAAACCAAGATGGCAGCATAGTTAAACACCAAAAATTGTTGCCTCGCACAACCACTTCAAAAATACAACTAAAAGACAAAATGGACATCATCCAGAACTACAGGAAGGCTGGCTGAGAGGAAATTCTACAACTAGAAGGAAAGAGAAAAGCACACTGAGACTCAGAGGAGGTGCGGAAGTAAAGTGCAGAGGTAGGGAGGCGCACCTGGAAAGGGCAGGCAACTAAGGACACGGTTGTCTTTTTCAATTGGGAGGGAGTCTCAAGCTCCCGACTGCTCTGAACTCCAGCTCTGGGTGAGTCTCTGGGGAACCAGACTCATATGGGGAGAAACTGGACTGTCTGGCAATGGTCGGACACTGAGACTCGGGGCCTCTTAAGGTAGGACTGAGGATCAGCCATAGCTGTTTGCTCCACCCTGTTGATTCCCTGAGACCCCGCCCCACCCAAGCTGTGTGCAGAGGCTTTTGCATATGAAAGGCCTGGCCCTTTGCAATCTGAAAATTACCTAACAAACTGCAGCTGGGTCAGAGAGACCCAGAACTTCCAAAAGAAGGCCCAAGGCCCCACAGCAGTTTGCATTGCTTCACAGCTGGACCTCATTTGGGCATCTCCAAACCCCAAACAAGGAAGGGGCATCTGCAGATTTCTCCGTAGCTCC